GCTCCAGAGATCGATCAATTTCGATTTTCGTTTTATCTGATGTGACTTTACTAAGGCAGGCGGGCGGGCGGGCACATGGGCATAAGCAGGCACTTATGTATAATAGTTATTTGCCGGTCAGGCAAGCAGACACACGCGGCCACACAATCGTACACGTGAATAACACGCTTATAAGATACAGTTATATAGATATAGATATATAGATATTTACGCATTCTGCAACGGACAATCTATCGAGAGGCCCGGTTACAGCCACATATAATAACATATATTTGGGTTGCCAGCGACACCTCTACTTTTTCTTTTCTTTTTTTCTTTCCTGTTTTTTCTTTTTTTTTTTTCTTAATTTTTTTTTCTCCTTTTCCTTGCAAATTTTCATTTCTGTCCTTTTAGTTTTCATAAATATTCGACCGTGTACGTCTTTTCCGTCCGAACTTTAAAGAAAATGTCGATTTTTTAAATACGTGAGATATCGGATTAGAAGACGAAAGAAATATTCGGCATACGATTTTAAATGACGCGTTCTTTTTCTTACGCGCGCGCGCGCGCACATGCGAGTAATCATACATACACACACATACAAACGCGTGCACACACACATACCGTCGTATCCACGACGAACCATCTTCCTCTTTAATTTACTCGTCGTACGTTCTTCGTTTTCTTTTCTTTTCCTTTCTTCTCTTTTCTTTTCTTTTCTTATCATGTTGTTATTTTCTGTTCATTTTCTTGTTCGTTCTTATTTCGTTCCGTTTCGTGTTCTTTCTAGCGTGTCTAAGAGTTCATACGTCTCACTTGCGACGTGTATCAAGAGTTTACCTTGTTCTCTGAAACGACGATGAGTTCGTCTGTTGACATGCGATGTCCATCATAAGAAAAACCAGAAAATCCTTGTTTTCCTTCGTCTCTAGCGACTTTTAAATTGAACAATATCGACATTCGATTTTACGTAATTTTGGCCGATCAACGTCTTTAATGAACCAATGATACATATCTTATATATATAATATATATATGTATATAAACATATGTAATAGATATATGTATATAAACATACATATATCGATCGGATAAGAACTAGGATAAAAGATAACTTCAACTAAAATCAATTGGCATAGAAAGAAAAAAAAAAAAGAAAGAAAAGTGAAGGAAATCCGAATCGTACCGATTTCTTCTTCAAGCCCTACGTGACCTATAAGAAAATCTACATCTAAACTCTCGATATGATTTTATATCGTTCATGGTATAAAACCATTTCCATTTCTACGATTCGTCTCGACTTAGTAAAGATAAAAGAAATGATTTAAAGCCAAATTGTGTCAACTTGTTTAATTCGGCGTAAGATAATTATCACGTATATACATATATACGAGGTTAATTTGCAAAATTTATGGCATTCTCTGGACTTTTTTTTTTTCGTTTTTATTTTTTTTCTCGCAGTGTACAAATTTTATTATTAAACATATTTTTGAAATATTTTAAAATGGAAAAAGTCACAAATTTCACAAATTGCCTCAGTTTATATGTATATATATACATATGTATATATGTATGTATGTGTATATATACATATGTATATGTAGATATATATATATATATAGATGTATATAAAGTACAAACAAATACGTTTTAAGTAAATTACAATCGCGTTAGTCTCGTCTATTTAATTCCAAGTCGGAATACTCGAATCGTCGATGATCGATACGAAGAAGCGCGAGAGAAGTCGCGCAGGCTCAAGAAGAGATTGGAACGCGGCTAGGTTACTAATAAAAGAAAACAGAGAAATGAGGTGAAGAAGTCAGCATTGTTGAGAGAGGAAAAATATCGATGAACGATATCCTCCACGTATAATTTCATTTTTCGTAGAAATTCAATTACGAAACAATTCTATTACGTACGTGAATGAGGTACCATTCATAAATACTTACGAGTTCTTACGAAAGAAACTTACTTATATTAAAAAGTATCATTTATATAATAAATATTTACGTACACGAAACGTAGATAAGATAACGGTTCTCGTGACCTAATATAATTTTACATTCATATATACATTAATAAAGAATATGTAAAATATTCGAACACCGCATAGTTTCTTGAGAATTTACAAATGAAAAATTAGATAAATAGAAAAAGGAAGAAAAATGGAGAAAAGGAGAGATAGAGACATCAAAAAGACACGCGGAACGACCAATTAATTTGAATCACATAAATAAATCAAAAGCAAGATGCAAATTACGATAGAAAATACATTTATGAAAAAAGATTTACTCAAAATAGGAAGACATAAAGATATATATATATATATATATCGCAACTTTCTTTATGTAAATAGAACGTATAAAAGAACGTATAAAAAAAAAAAGAAATCAAACGGTAAATATATACTTATATAATGGAAGAATACACGGATAATTACGTAAACACATATACGTACGTACAACAGACACAGAAAACAATAGATAATATACCATATTTTATCGAAAAATAATAAAAATATAAAAAATAAAATAATAAAAAAAAAACACAAAACTAAACGAAGGAGAGAGAGAGAGAGAGAGAGAGAGAGAGAGAGAGAGAGAGAGAGAGAGAGAGAGAGAGAGAGAGAGAGAGAGAGAGAGAGAGAGAGAGAGAGAGAGAGAGAGAGAGAGAGAGAGAGAGAGAGAGAGAGAGAGAGAGAGAGAGAGAGAGAAAAGAGAGACAGAATTTACGCGCACGAATATACATATACATACACATACAAAAATGCACATACATATATATATATATATATATATATATATATATATATATATATATATTCGTCGTGGGAAATCCTTCGTCTCACTTCTTTCATCTCAACGTCCACATCGATTTCTTTCGCAAACGTCGGAACGAAATTATTGTGTTAACCGTCGGTCACCGAGAGAATTCACGAGGAAAAATAAAAGATTTATAAATAAAAGACAACTGAATTTTCTTTTAAATATTACTAAAGAAAAAAAAAAAGGAAAGAAGAAAAAAAGGAAGAGATATAACAATAAAACAATAAGAAGAAAAAGAAAATAAAAATGATCGAGGAGAGGGGTCGCGCAACAAATCAATCGATGTCTATTTGTAATTCTCGTCGTCACGAAACACACACTGTTATTCCGATCTTCGTCATATATGTATATATATTTACGAACTCGAACGTTATTAATAAACGCTTGTTGCCCACCGAGTTGGCGGATCACGAAAACAATGTGAATCACTTTTGTATTTGATTGAACGTAGCAAGCGTTACCAGTTAAATCGCGTGAACAATTACCCTGGCTCGATCCCAGATAAGAAAAAAAAAAAGGACAAAAAAAGATGGGGAAAAAACGAGTTAGAAAAAAACCGAAGTTTTTCTATCTTTCTATAGTCACGAAATAATAATTGAGGTCGTCATGGAAGAAGATCGACGCCATTTTATTTCATTATTACGTATATAATACGTATATAATTTTTTTTGTTCTCTCTACGTCGTTGTGTATACGTTATCCGTTCTTTCTTCTATATACGCTTTTCCTTCGAATCGTAAATCTTGCCAAGGCTTCCGAAGTAGTAAAAGTAAAGCCTTTAATGCTCCTGCAATGCTAACACTTTCCGATACAAATAAAGTAAGAATTTAAAGAGAGGAAGATAAATAGATAGATAGATAGATAGATAGATAGATAGATAGATAGATAGATAGATAGATAGATAGATAGATAGATAGATAGAAAAAAAAAGAAGAGACAGATACAGATAGGGAGAATAGGAATTTTAAAAAGAAAAAAGAGAACGAACGTATACATATATGCATACATAATACATAACCTACATATGTATATATACGTGTATACGCACATAGGCATATGTATATGTGTATGTACGTGTATATATATATATATATATATGTATATATGTATATAGAAAAAGACTGGATCGAAGCTTTTCGAAAATTCGGAAAAGATGTCGTGTTTTGCGAGAGCATTTTAATGCACGCTCCCGAGAAATACATTTTCCACGCGTTTTCCTGAATTTTTTCCACGCGTCGTACCTTTCATTGATTTCCTTCTGCCTCGGATAACTTCAATGGTCTGATCTTTAACGATTATTTTTTTTTCTCTTCTTCCCTCTTCACTTTTCTCTTTTACCTCTCCTTTTCTTCGACACATTTTTCTTCTTCCTCTTTTTCTTCTTCTTTCTTTTCTTCTTCTTTCCATTTTCCTCTTTTGTTCTCTTTTTTGTTTTTTTTTCTTTTTGTCCGATTTTTATTTAACTTCTTTCCTTTTTTTTTTTGTTTTTGTTTTTCTCCACTTTCCTCCCCTTTCTCTTTCTCGTTTCTTTCTATATAATTTTTTCTTGAGAACGGTCATTCTCGCTTTATTCCACAAAGATCCGCCGTCTCTCTTGTTGTTATTATTATTTTTTTTTTCTCTTTTTCTTGTTTTCTTTTTCATCTTTTCTTGTATTCTTCCTCTCCGAAACGATAAGAAAAAGAGAGGAGCATCTCCTCGTCTCTCCCACGTATTTTCTTTTTGATTTTTTTTTTTTTTTTATTAAATAGAAGTGGGGGACGTTCCTCTATTTCACAACTACCCTTCATTATACTCTAACGATATAAATACCGTTTATATTATATTCGATTTCCTTTTTAATTTCTTTGATTTTTTTTCTTTTTTTTTTCTTTCATTTTTTGTTTTGTTTTGATAATCTAAGAAAAGAACATTTCGATCTAGCTTATTAAAAAACGAGAGACAGAACCGAGGGAATTTTACCGTAAAAGAATAGAAGTTAGAACCCGTACGAAATATGGCGGGAAAAACGGAGATTTCTGATACGGAGGATTTTAGTTAGTAATCAAGGATGATCGAGGATGAAGGGTTAATATGCGATAGCGGAAGGGGATTCCTTTCGTTTCCTTATTTTTTTTTTTTATCCTTCTTCCTTTCATTTTTATCCTTATACGAAAGAGAGATGTTTCTTTAGGGAAAGCGACGAGACGAACTCACCTCCTCGCATAATGCCAGCATACGCCTCGTACTCTCCAGGGACTGAAATAAAAGGAAATGCTTATTATTATCGCGGAAGACTTTTGGAACAACAAAGAAAAATATAAAAAAAAAGATGAAAAAGAAAAGTAAATAAATGAAGTACATCACATTTTATTCATGAAAGATAAAAAAAATGTGAAATATAAATACGTCGATATGTTGAATTCGAGAACTTATAATGAAAAGAGAAAAAGATCGTGCGAGTAAAATAAAAATTCCGTCGTTCGATAAAACGATGAAAGTATGTCCTTTCGCAAAGTATGTAATTTTTTTACGTAACGAAAAAAAATCTATGATCGGATCGAACTAATCGCGTTCCATGACGAAAGGACAAAGTTTACGTTAGAGATATGTTACTGTTAATCGAACGCTTACCTCATCGGTGGTCTGGTCGGCCTTCAGCTGTAATTCTTGCAATTCGGTGCGAGGTGGGCCACATTCGGCCGCACCCGCCGCTGACGTTGGTGCAGGCATCTCGGAAGGTGCCCTGAAGCGCTGGTTGGGCCTATCCGGTTAAATCGAAGTCTTCTATTTAACGAGGAATCTCTCCTTCGTGTATTCCTTCTCTTCTTTCAAATACGAAGAGAAAGAAATCAGACGGTTTATGATCTCTCACGTGTTACTGTGTCCAATGATAATGCATCCTGTAACACAGAGAAAGAGAGAAGAACAAAAAAAATAAAGAAGTAAATAAATAATGTAAGGCATCGAAAACGATATCACTTCGATCTCGTTCTAATTCGTATTATAACAAATTAACTCGATAAATACGTCGTAAATGAATGAACGCGAATTTATTAATTAAACTATTCAAGATGAAAGAACCAATGCGACATGAGAGAAAAAAAGAGAGAGTGAAAGAGAAAAAGGGGAAAAAAAAGGAGATAAAACTGACAGAGTTAAAGCTTTCTTCCTCGAAGACAAGAAGACAGGCACCACGCGTTCTCCTCTGACAGTAGAAACACCAACGAGGATGGCGAAAGTTGGCGCAACACTTGGGAACTCGCGACTCTTCGTAAAAGAGGAGAGAGAGAGAAAGAAAGAGAGAGAGAGAGAGAGAGAGAAAGAGAAGGTGGAGGTGGAGGTGGAGGCCGGCCCACGAATACGCGCGCGACGTTACGGAAAACGTAGCTGGCTGCTAACGGTAGCGTAGACAACACACATCTAAGCCGCGTCCTAACCTTCTACGGAAATCAATACCCGAGGACGAGGGAACGAGAAGCACAGTACAAGCGACCGAGCGACCGAGCGACCGAGCGACCCACCGAAAAATGCGCAGACGCGAACCACCCACTCGTCTCTCTCTCTCTCTCTCTCTCTCTCTCTCTCTCTCTCTCTCTCTCTCTCCCTCTCTTTCTTTCTTTCTTTATCACTCTCCCCTACCTCTATCTATCTACACACACACACACACACACACACACACGCACGCACGCGCACATGCCAACACACGCATACCTACACATATTTTATACGTCTGCAACCCTCTCTAAAAGCACGCTCCGAAATCGACGAAGCAACCCTACTCTCTCTCTGCTCGCTTCCCGAGACGTCAATGCTGTACGCACCGCAACGATCAGCTGGGTTTCACGACGAGATATGTACAGGTCAGGAATTTTCTCTCTCACGAGAATATCATCATCCAGCAGGCAATTTTTTTTTCGAAAAGTCGATTCTCATTTAAGAAATATTTCATAGCTCCTGGGAAACGCCGGATTTTTTTTTCTTTCTTTTTTTCCTTCTTCACCCTCTCTCTCTTTCTCTCTCTCTCTCTCTCTCTCTCTCTCGCTCTCTCTCTCTCTATCTTTTCGATCTCGAAGATCGTTCATTCTCTTTTAATACGTTCATTTTTGTAATGCGAATCATGCCAGTGATAAAACTCGAATATAGCCAGACATTGCGATATATGTATACCTAGCCCATCTACTATACCTACTGTATATACACTTACGTACATATATATCTATGAATTTATTCCAAGAGTGGTACATAAAACTTTGGGAATTATTTTTGACGATACTATAACATGTTACGACGAACTTTGAACGACGAACGATACGTATCACTTATCGTCAAAGTCATTTTAATTATTATCAAATTGTCAGTAATTTCTGATGTCATTCAAGATACGTCCAACTAAACTTTACGATGTATATTCGTGTCTAATCAAAGAAAAATATTAAACGTTACGTACTCTGTATACGAATGAATTATTATTTTCATAGAGGAGGAGGGGGAAAAAGAAAAATAAAAAAGAAAAAAAGAAAAAACAGAAAATGTTACCCCAACTTCGATTAATCTCGATAATAAATAAATTGATATAAGTAAAAATTCAATACTTGTCAATTTCTATAATAAAGTATATCGGAGAATAAAAAGGAGATCGAGGTAGACCCGATTTAGGATGTCAATCGAATGCTTTTGTCCTTGTCCTTGAGATAGCTGGCTCGCTTCCAAGTTACGACGGGGTAACACGTTTACTCCCCCGATCTTTCACGCCAAGATCACGGTCGATCGAGGCATATGAGCGAACCGAACGTGAAAGGAACATTTCAATGGAGTAATAAAAAAAATGTTGAAGTAATGAAAGATAATGAAAAGTAGGTCGTACGAGATATATATAAAATTATGTAAATAAGTTTATAAAAAAATATATATATAATTAATAAATATCTCGGTCAATAGGGAAAAAAAGGAAAATAAAAAAAAAATAAATAAATAAAAAAGGGGATGAAGTGTTAGATGGTCGGGGGAGGAGGGAGGGGGGAAACTTTCGAAATAAATATTTACATCTCATATGCAACGAAGACTTTTTCGAATAAAAATGTACGTCACCTTGAAACCCATACTACATGCAGTTTTCTCCATTGACAATGAGAAAGTAACGAAGAGCTTCGTCGATCGATGATCGCAATTGCAAACGTGCGTAATGTATGAAGATTGCATTAGCATGCGTGAGAGACCGTCGTTCCTATTAATACGACTTCCCAATCGTTAGAAATGCTACGTTAATAAAATATTGTGAATAATGAAGGATACCTTTCGTGTGAATAATTCCATTACGAAGAATTTTTTTTTACCGAGAATAATGATCTGTTTCAATTGATTTTAGCCTTTCTTATTATTCATATTATTTATTATTATTTATATTTAAGAACGTTGATTAATATCAGGGTCTTTTTTTTTTATTTTTTTTTTTTTTTTAAGGGAGAAAAAAGAGAAATTTATGAGAAATCTTACCGATGATACAACATTGCGGTTAATGTGCAAACAACGTGAGAAAATCAATATTTCAAGATACTTATTGTTAGATATGTAATGACGCATAGATACGTCATAGCAATTAGTAAACATGGAACGTATGCTTTTAAGTGCCGCTTTTCGACATTTGTTTCATCCGCTCTCAAACGGTATATAGACCTTTCCTTGCGAATTAATCGGTCGTTCGAATCAAAAGAAAAAGAAAAAAAAAAAAAAAAATAAATAAATAAATAAATAATACAAAAAAAAATCTCGTGATTCTTCCCAATTTGCTTTTGATTTTGCCAATATGCTTGACCTCTTCGACTTAAATGACCCCGATCGATATTATTGTGCAATATTTTATGTTGCGCAATATTGTTTGCTTTCTATCAACTACATACGTGAGAGGATTAAATTTACATTACTAATATGATAGATAATAACGAATAAATAAATAGAGATTACATTGTTATCTTTATTATATAAATTATTTCATATCATAATAATTAATGTTCCTTTCTTTTCTTTTCTTAGAACTATATACCTTATATTATCTAATAATAATGACTATGTCAAGCGTTATTTGTATTTATATTTGTATTATAAAAATAAATTTTTCAATCTGTATCAATCACTTTGATATGTAATGATTCATTGATATCTATTCAATTATTTTCTACAGATACGAATTAAAAATAAAATTTTCCGTAGTTTAAAATTTTTTTTTCTTTTTCTTTCTGTTTTTTATTTTAATTAAATTCTCAAAGTATATTTAGAAAATTTGAAATTTAATAGCAAAGATGATAATATGGAAGAGATATAAAACAGGATATGATAAAAGATGACTATAGGCATCCTAACCTATGCAATAAAAGATAGAATACTGTGAAGACAATTGTTAAAGTAACTCATAAAAGATACAAAGAATATTATAATAAGAGAATTACTTCGTAGAATAATAAAATGACATATCTTAATGGAATGCAGTTGTTTATAAAATCTTAAAGAAGAATTTTTGATATGTAAAAAGTACTATATTTCAAAAGAGTTTATGCGTATAATATGATATTAAAAATAATGTCAAAGGAGGAAACGAAGATACTCACTTCCCTTTAACGAGGAACGAAGTGAAATTAACAAACGTGATTAAAATAAGTACACTTTATATGGCACTCAAGTAAATGTCGAAGCAGCATAAAGTAGAAAATCGATAAAACTTTACCTCAACCTGTAACGTTACGTTTATTTTCGATTTATTAAAAAATAATAATTAGAGAGATATATAATCACTTACCAAAAGGTATTACTCGTAAAGAATCGATTAAAACTAACGTTTCTGACACCGTATACTCCTTCGGAGAACTTGCTTCTAATCGCACTTTGCTGATAACCACTACTATATCAAATTCCTTACCACTACACAAATGACAAAGAAGAAATACTCTTACTAATATAAAGATTTTATTTCAGCGCACTCTTGTGTAAAAATATAGAAATATTGAAAGTTAATATCGATAGAGGTTTGTCGATAGATCGACTAAATAAAACCCACCAATCGTGTAGTTTCTCGATTGAAAAATTTCGATTTCATTGGTACGTCGAAGTAAACAAATTTTAACCAAGAAAATTATTACTTTAACCTAACATCTACAACAAAATATCCATGAATATAACGATATTTTTACATAAACGATATGAACGAAATTATTTATATACATTATTCATTTTTTAGTCCTAATGGTGGCTCGAAACATTTGTTAAAGTTTAATTCGTGTTCTTTTAAATAAGATTCATGATAATCTTATAGCGACAAGTGTCAATGACAATGTCAACGTTAAAGAACAATGATGTTACTGGTGAACCTCTACGATTGACACATATCAAGCCATCCTTTGATGCTGAAGAACTTGCCTTAGCATCACGCCAAGATCTATGGCATAAGTTTATTGTATTGAATTGCCAACCACACGGAAAAGCAGAAATATTAAAAGCCATTATAAATGCTTGCGAACCAGAAATTTTGTTACCTGTTATGTATAAAAAAGAGAATGAAAATAAAAGTACTTTTCTGGCTAAATGTAATTCTGGTGCTATTGAGAATCTTGTAAAGCAATGCTTGTGTATAGCATTACCTGGTGGCTATGAAATATATATCGATATTATATTAGGATTCATTAATACACGAGAATTATCATTGAATCCTAACAAAGTAATAGCACAATCTTTATACCAGAGATATGAATCAGTGAAAAAGATACTTAATTTAGATGATTTTGAAAATGACAGATTATTAAGCTCAATATTTTGTCCTATATCTATACCAAAGATATTCCATCTTGTTTTAAGATGTGCCAAACAAGGTGTTATGGGCAATAATCGTGAATTGAAATTATCCGTTCGCGAGTTAAGTTTGAAACATAACAATTTGACAGCCATTATATTATTTGAAAAATTCTTTAATTTTCATTTAACTAAATTAGATTTAAGATATAATCAAATATTAGATGTTGAATATTTACGTTATTTTTCTGAATTTAAGATAACAGAACTTTGGTTGGATGGAAATCCCTTATGTACGCAATATAAAAATGCACAAGAATATGTACAAGCTGTAAAAAATATCTTCCAACATTTACAGAAATTGGACGGAGTAATAATAGGTATGGAGAAGAAATTTATACCAAATATACAAACTCATTATCTTAAAGATGGTTCTAAATTGCCATTAATAAAACAATTTGTGAAACATTTTTTTTTAATGTATGATCAAGAAGATAGATCAATTATGAATGGTCTCTATGATAAAAATGCATTTTACTCTATGACTTTAGGTGCTGGTACAAATTATGTGCATAAGCAAGTAGCTAAATCATTTGTTACAAATAGAAATTTACTCAAATTTGTGGATTATGCCAAATGCCATGAATTTTTATTACGTGGTCCTGATAAAATAATATCAGTATTGAGGCGCCAACCTCCCACATCACACGATATTCGTACATTTAACATAGATTTATTATATGAAAGTAATAATCTCTTAGCCATATCCATACAAGGATTATTTTATTATAAAGAAATTTCTTTTCTTCCTATGGTATTCAATAGAACATTTATTATAGTTGGTAAAGAAGATAACGAATATTGTATAACTAATGATCAGTACTTTATTGATGGACCTTACTCTAATAATCTAATACAAATTAATACTGAAATGAAACATGACATTAAAAATATGTGTGTATTTGTCCCAACTATATTTAGTCCATCAGAAAAAAAGAAATTAATTGTATTTTTACAAGAACTAACGTCAATGAATTCAACATTTAGTTTAAAATTTCTAGAGGATGTTAATTGGGATATAAGACGTGCAATCACTAATTTTACAAAAATGTATACATTAAATGATGTACCTCCAGAAGCCTTTGAATAAATTATTTTTATATAATATGAATCAATTGAAATTTTTGAATATATTACTTATAGATCGTTAACAATCTATATTCTAATATATTTATTTTTTATTAAACACCATAAATTCGTGGAATATTAAATAATTTCTATTTATAAATGAACATTATTTATTGCTGACTCACAAATTTACGTACAATTTCAGATGAAATATATTTATAAATTACTCTTAGTAAAGTACGATATAAAACTATTATAAGGTTATATTGTATGTGATAATCCTAACAAGTGCTATAAAGGATCTTATCGCATTTAAGAAAATCAATAATTTTCAACATAGAACGAATATTCGTCAGCTGATCAGAACCTATTGATTGTTTGCTTATTTTGTCCTACAAGCACACAGGATAACAAATATTCTAAGAATATAATCCCTATACTTCAATATCTTCAATCGTTAAAGATGTCATACAAAATTTTTCACAAGTCATTGATTTACGTTATATAATCATAGAAACATTAAAAATATTTCATTTCAGTAATACAATTCCTTAGTTTAGAGAATATACATTTTATAGTAGTAGGGATTTTTATGCACGAGTAGCGGTAGTACTACTCGCCTGCATTGCAGGTTCCATACTACATAGGGGCCTCAGTTTGCACGTTCCTGTCAAATATAACGTTAGCTATGGTAAGTTCGATATTAAACTTTGCATATTGATTTATACTAAAATAATTTCATTATATTCAAGTTTTTAATATATAAAATAAAATAAAATTTTGTTATTTTAGGATATACTAATTTTTTTATTAATGAGACAGTTGAATGACCTGTCTTGTATTACATCAATACTGTACATAAATTCTATTATACATAAAGTACTAAATTTAACTTGAATTCATTATAACTTTTTACAGCGGATGAAAGCATTGAGATGCCCTACTGATGAGCTTAGTCTCACCAACTGTGCTATTATTAATCCTGATGACTTTCCAGAGGATGTGAAGTAAAATTATATTTTAATTATATACAAAAAATTTGATGTCAATCAATTATTCTATAAGTCTAACCAATTTTATATGTATTCTTTAGACATATAGAAGTATCCACTGGTCCGAATCAGCATTTTGTGTTTACTGTGAAGCATCATCATGAGGTTCCTCATGGAGCGGTTGGATTTAGCTTGCCTCAACGAAAGTGGGCTACGCTTTCTCTTGGACAAGATATTGAAGTTCGACCTTATTATTTTGATCCAACATCTAGTTCTGAATGCTTATGCACTATTGTGTTGGAAGCTGACTTTTTACAAAAAAAATCGTATGTCTTGTTTATCATTATGATAATATCCGTTTTTTTATCGAACAAGAGATGTTATATTGTATTCTATATATATATATATTTTTTTTTTTCTAGGACATCTTTGGAACCATATAATACAGATGAGATGGCCAAAGATTTCCTGTTGCGCTTTTCGGGACAGGCATTCACCGTGGGTCAGCAGCTGGTATTTCAATTTAAAGACAAAAAAATGCTTGGCCTTGTTGTTAAAAGTTTAGAAGCTGCTGATCTTTCTGCTCTTAAATCAGGGCAGAATCCAACACCAAAAAAGACAGAAATGGGTCGTTGCTTGGGTGATACTGTAATACAATTTGAAAAAGCAGAAAATTCAAGTATAAATCTTATTGGAAAAGCGAAAGGGAAAGTTGTTCGACAGTCAATTATTAATCCAGATTGGGATTTCCAAAAAATGGGGATTGGTGGTTTAGATAAGGAGTTCAGTGCTATCTTCAGAAGAGCATTTGCATCAAGAGTTTTCCCACCAGAAATTGTAACTCAATTAGGTTGCAAACACGTTAAGGGTATTTTACTTTATGGTCCACCAGGAACAGGAAAAACATTGATGGCAAGGCAGATAGGTACCATGTTAAATGCAAGAGAGCCAAAAATAGTTAATGGTCCACAAATCTTAGATAAATATGTTGGAGAAAGTGAAGCTAATGTTAGAAGATTATTTGCTGATGCAGAAGATGAAGAAAAGAGGGTATATGTGCTTTATTTAATATTATATATCAATAATAGCAATTATAGAATTTAATTATTATAATATAAAATCATTTTCAGCTTGGCCCAAACAGTGGATTACATATTATAATCTTTGATGAGATTGATGCTATTTGCAAATCTAGAGGCAGTGTAGCTGGTAATACTGGAGTGCATGATACAGTCGTCAATCAGCTACTTGCAAAAATTGATGGTGTAGAACAATTAAATAATATACTTGTTATTGGTATGACCAATAGACGAGATATGATTGACGAAGCTCTTTTACGTCCTGGTAGATTGGAGGTAAAAAAAATATATAAGCAAATATATTAACATCGTATATGTCTACATTAATAATTGATATTTAAAGGTACAAATGGAAATTAGTTTACCGGATGAAAATGGAAGATTGCAGATTCTTAATATTCATACATCTAGAATGAAGGATTATAAGAAAATATCACCTGATGTAGATTTAAAAGAATTGGCAGTAAAAACTAAGAATTTTAGTGGTGCTGAATTAGAAGGTCTAGTAAGAGCAGCCCAAAGTACAGCTATGAATAGATTAATCAAAGCTTCAAGTAAAGTTGAAGTAGACCCAGCTGCAATGGAAAAACTTATGGTTGCTAGATCCGACTTTTTACATGCTCTTGAAAATGACGTTAAGCCAGTAAGTAAATTTAAATTATAAAAAAGTAAACAATTCATCAAAATTAAATGAAATAATAATAATAATAATAATAATAATAATGATAATAATAATAATAATAATAATAATAATAATAATAATAATAATAATAATATACATACACACACACTTATATATTCATTGAATAATTTTTTAGGCATTTGGTACAAGTGCAGAAGCTCTTGATCACTTACTTATTCGCGGTATTATTTCTTGGGGAAGATCAGTTACTGAAATTCTATCTGATGGTATGCTTTATATACAAGAAGCACGTGCCGCGGAAAGCTCAGGTCTTGTATCAGTTCTCTTAGAAGGACCTCCAAACAGTGGAAAAACAGCTCTTGCAGCACAAATTGCTAAGAATTCTGACTTTCCATTTGTTAAGGTTTGCACTCCAGAAGACATGGTTGGCTTCACAGAATCTGCGAAATGTCTGTCAATACGAAAGGTAATATAATTATTTTAATTTATATTAACATGGATAAACAAATTAAAATATTATATACAATAATATATTGTAGGTATTTGATGATGCATATCGTTCGCAACTTAGTTGCATTTTGGTTGACAATATTGAACGTTTATTAGATTATGGTCCTATCGGTCCACGTTACTCGAATTTAACATTGCAAGCGCTTCTTGTTTTATTAAAGAAGCAACCACCTCGTGGTCGTAAATTATTGATTCTTTGCACTTCAAGTCGCAGGTAAATATTTTATCATATACAAACAAATAAATATTTATATCTACATACTATATCTCATTTGTTCATTACAGACAAGTTTTGGATGATATGGAAGTACTATCAGCATTTAGTAGTACCATTCACGTTCCTAATTTATCTACACCCGAACATCTCTTAAATGTCTTGGAAGAAGTAGATTTATTCACAAAACAAGAAATGGCATCTTTACATGGAAAACTTCAAGGAAAACGGTAACATATTATTAAATTACAATTATTTATTTTTATATACGAAAAAATAATTTATTTTTTCTTCTGATTCTAGTATATTTATTGGTATAAAGAAATTATTATGCCTAATAGACTTGGCTCGTCAAGTAGAGCCTAACTACAGAGTACCAAAATTCCTCTCAAAATTAGAAGAGGAAGGTGGATTAGAATAAAAAAAAAAAAATTGGTTTCTGAATTCTAACTGTGTAGTATCCATAGGTTGGTATGATAAATTTTTATATATTAGAATAAGCTAAATACAACTAGAATTTATCAATTTATGTAATACAGAATCGATATATCAAGTATAATTCCTTTGTAGGTATTTTTTGCGATCGGATGGAGCAAAATTACAAGATCAATAATTCTAACAACATAATATCTTTATAAAATGTTTATGCATTAGCAAAAATGAAAAATATCTTCAATCTTAAATGGTATTATCTATTTTTTATACCATTTAAACAAAAGGATATAGATATACTTATATTTATTTTATATATTTTTTGTTATCATATAAGTGATTTTTATATAAGTAAATATATTAAGTAATTTTAATTTAATATGTATATCATCCCGATTATACAAATTTTGATTTTCAAAAAATATTGAATGTATCATTATGAAATGATACTTTAATTTTGTTCTTCAAATAATTCCTTTCGAATTCGATAATGTTTTGTAATAATATTTCTGTGTAAAAAATTACATATGCTTTAATTTTTAATCCTAAATAGGTGTACGTAAAAGGATCTTTGTGATGCATTCTTTGAATTTTTCTTTTTCAGTATACGTCAGTACAATATGATTTATGACATGATAAATATCGATTAAATTTAACCATATATGTATGTGCACGCGATACTTACGCCGCGTATGTCCCCATATATCTGCTTGTTATATGATCGTTTGACATCACAGTGATCAATTGTTAGCAATAAATATAATAATACTTATTCTTGATCAAACACAATGAAAATCTGAATTATGTATATTATTGATTTTAGACTGTTTTGTAATTATCATTGTTCAATGAAAATCATAAAAGAATGGTAAGCAACTTATATCACAAAAATATAAGAATGAATGGAACAGAGAAAAAACAGGTAATTCGATAAAACGTTTGTTCGATCCTTTTACTTACTATTTGAGACTAAGGACTATTGCATATTTGATTTGATATAAAAACAGAAATGTTACTTAAAAAATTGATCGATTTCGAAATAATGAAATTATCCTAATATAAATTTTTATATGTACGAATAGTAGGTTCTCCGATAAAGTGCATATTATAATTATTTGATTACAGATAATAAGATGGATAATAATCGTCGATGTAATAGCAGAAGTTGACAAGATTTATTCGAAATTATCTAGTTAAAATGTTACTATAATTGTTTATAAAAGAAATATTATAGAATTGATTTAGCTTTTGATTGTTATTCTTAAACTGTTGTAAAATTATTCAATTCGCATATATGTAAAACTACAATAGTGTTTAAATATTTAATGCAACCATAGGACAATGATGTCTTTGAAATATATAACAAATGTACAAAAGGTAATAGGAAAATGTAAAAAAAAAGAGTTGTATTCCTATTACGTGATTACAACACATAAGTACATATATACATATGTATATGTACCTATACGTTTATGATTAATAAAGCAACAATTATATATATAATATATATATATATATATATAAATATAATGTATACACATGTGTATATATGTATATATATAATTTTTGCTTCATAAATCGAAAACGATTAAAAAATGAAAATAATTATTCCTTTATGTTACATGTACAGCTTGTGTAATAAATGTATGTACAGCTTATATGTCAGTGTACAGGTATAGACTAATTTTTCTATTTATGTATTTCATTACATAATTTTTTACTTTATTTTTTTTTTTTTTTATAAATAATGCATTTACTTTGCTTTATACTCCAAAAAAAATTTTACAAATCAACAAATGAATAACAATCAATATTATTTCTATTGATAATCATATAGATGTATCTAAATGTATTGTTAAAATCATATATATATTAAATGTTTCCAAATAAAATATTATAACGAAATGTTACTGTTTTTAAGTACAGTGATAATAAATGTTTTTGGTCTTTTTGAGAAATAAACATAAGAAACGATACATGCATTTGAAGATAATTTGTTTATAATTGAAATTTTATTTACTTAATGAAATTAAATGTGATACTTAAACTTAGCCATGTGAGTACTATCTTGTATTGCGTAGCATCATTCTTCTATTACAAGTTCAGTTCAGTCAAAAAGTTAAGGTATAGATTATATTAAGACATAAATAATCATAGAAGAACAATGCTAATCATAATACGAGATGATAAAAGTTTTAAAACTTTAGATGGTCAATCTTTAGTCTAAAAGATTATATACTTGTTTTGAAAAATTGTTCCTTCGTTAGAGTAAATAATATTTATTTATAATACAAATCAACATTTTTACACAATAACATTACCCAATTTATTGCTACCGCTCTTTTTCGCAATTAGTTCTCATTATCTACATGTGCGATTCTTTTATCATAGTTATCGGTAACATGTACTTGCTTTTTAAGATTAATAATTATATATATATGTATATAATTATTAATACTTCTAAGATTAATAATTATATATATATATGTATATAATTATTAATACTTCTAAGATTAATAATTATATATTAATAATTATATATATATAATTATTATGAGAGAATAGTGTATATTATATAATTAAAATATTAAAAGATATTAAGCACTGGCGCATCATTTTGTTCTTTAAATAAACGTATGTAAAAAATTATTTTAATAATACAACTATGCATCCAAAAGATCGTCGTCGCTATCCGATTGACACTGCGTTGGATCATTACTAGCATCTAATAAAAGACGAGCCTGCTCATTAGTGCCGACCTAAAAGTAGAACGACACATAAAATTAAAGATATTTACAGAAAATTTACATTGAAATCTTTCTTTTTTTACATATCATAAATTAAATTCAAATTATCATGTATACCCTGCAGTATTGAACACGGCCATTTCTTCTTCTGGAATTGCAGAAATTAAAATAGGATTGCAAACAGGCTCTCTTATTCGGATTTCGATAATACAATAAAGCTAGCAGAAACATACATATAGTAATTACGATACCAGCTATCAGACCCGCTGAAAATATCAAAATTTAATTTTTGTATAATTATCAAAGATTTGTTCATATTTACACAATTAATTATTTTAATTTAATATAAAGAATGACAATAGATACTTGCCATGACTAGAAGTACTTTGAATGTTTTCTTGTCTATCTGCGAAAGTAAATTTCGATTCCATGTTGGATTGATTAATACAAATTACATTTGTGTACCATTCAAATTCTGTCCTACACTGTGATTCCTATTAAAAAAACAAAAAAAGAATAGATATATTAGGTATCTAAAACGAGAATAATAATTTAACGCAACTTTATAATTCCTTCTTTCTTTTTATACTTCGTCATTCGAGTATTAAATGATGTAATGTAAATACAACGATAAGAAGTTCAAATGTCTCTTAGAATTTTTAAAAACTTCTTGTTAAGAAATATTTGCTTGTTTAGAAGATTTTCTCGTATTGCATATAATGGGAAGTACCATCGTCAATAAGAACTTCGTCATTTTCCCATCGCGTCGAACCATTTTTTACGAATGATAATCTTTGGAAAATTAATATTTACAAATTATTTATACGTGTACTATAAACGTGTTAACCAATTCGCTATTATAATAATAGTCATTTATTTGTTACATGCTTGGTATTTCCTAATCAAAAACATGGTTACCGCATTGTCTAATGTTTTTAAATAAAAACTTTACATTATACAAACATACATATGTATATACGACGTAATATATCTTTTTCAGATAAAAGAGAACTCTTGAAGATAAATAATACAATGAAGTTAAATAACTAAAAAATCTTTTACTACAACTATGACTATAATCGACTACATCGATATTTTTTAGATCTCCATTAGAAAATGTGTATGTATAAAAAACAAGATCGAATGTAGAATAAGACGATTTTTTTTAGAAGTTTGTAGCATGCCACTCTCCACTCTAATGCGTATAACTACAAGTATTATTCTCTAAAAAAATATTGGTAATTGTAAAATAAAAGAAAAAATAATTGAGATGTAAGAACTGTAATTATAATATTCAAGGAGTTATTTTTTTATATTTTTTATTATATATTATTATTTGCTCAATAAAGTCTTTTCTTTTATTATGGTTGTAATCTATTTTCAAAAAGTGAATACACAAAGTAAAATAAAGTGCATATTTTTTACGTAATGTCCTAAAATGATTAACACTTTAAATATTCCAAACTCTGAAATATTTGGCGTCCTAAATAAATTGACTTCGAAACTTTTTAGAAATGGCTTCCATTTCACTTGATAAGTATTGGAAATAAATTTCATTCAATTGTTATAACAATATAAAAGAAAATAACATTTTTATACTGAAATAATGTTTACCGAAATTTCATTATTTTTACTTGACTGGCAATAATGTTTTCTATTAATTCCATGGGTAGCGAATGTGTTAAATTGCTTTTACTGCCATTTTTTACAATCAGGCAATAAACCGAAATTGATGATAATCGGCAACCGCTTGGGAAATCCAGAAACTAATGGAAATTCTGGAGGTGCATTTATGGTAGAAAAATAAAACTTAAGCCACAGGTATGCTAATTGGTCTTTACAACGAAAACAAATGAAGAAAGTAATAAAGAAAAATATAATCTCGAAGGTTTTCAAAGAAATTCTTCAAATATGTTTTCTCATTGTTCGATCAAGTGATTAAGGATTTATTTTCTCTCTCTCTCTCTCTCTCTCTCTCTCTCTCTCTCTTTTTGTTTTTTCTTTTTTTATACTTTGCTCCTATACAAAACAACATTTGTAAATTATTTTTTGATTTAGACATGTGTTAAAATTGTTTCAAATGTAGCAGAATTCATTGGAATTTTTTTTCAAGATTATTTTATTTACAGAAAAACTGTGTAAATTTAAATAGGTATATCTACTTTATATACTGGGAAATATAAAGTAATCCATGCAAATGTTTATTATTCTAAGCCATATGGCTTAACATAAATTTCGAAGAATCATAGTTTTCAAAGACATCAGAATTTAGAAGAAAAGGTTTTCACGCATAGACGACATTTAGAAAAAAAGTTTGGTATATAAACTTTTTTCTTTATAAATTAAGAAGAAAAACGTTATACACTTATTTTTAATTTAATTTTAAAATAATAAAGATATTTGCCATTCGCCTTGTAAAAGTATTCATTTTTTCTTTAGGTACACCATAAATTATTTTAGAATTAATTTATTTTCCCTTTGTTACATGTAATATCCGTTGAAAGAAAAATAACCAACACATGTTCGACAGACTTTCCTGAATCATTTATAAAATTATCAATCCAAAAATATTCGTAAACTTTACAAAAGTTTTAAGACTTGTTTTAAATGAAATAAGTTACTATATAGTTTTAGTAAACACATTGATGTATTTATTTAAACATTTATCTATGAATTTACGAAGAAATTTCATATGTATATAAAGAATTAAAAAATAATAATTCTTTTTTATAACAGCTATAAAAAAATACAACATGGAAATTTGTTAAATCCTTTATCAAAAATGTTCATAAGAAAAAGAATAGCCACTAAAAATCGTTCCAATAATTATTAATTTGTAAATAATAAATCGTTGATTTATATTACATACGAATTTTACGAGCGCTTCCATTTATCGGGTCACGTGGGAGCAGCGGCCAATGACGCGCGTCGGTAACGTGGATCACGTGACGGCCTACTGTATAGCAAGTACATTAAACGTTCGCGAGACGAGACCATCAGTCTACGTTAAGACGTGTAGTAGTATGTATCTGTTCTGCGAAATTTTTCATTCCGTTTCTTTTCCCCGTACGTTCAAATGTGTCATGCTAGTTATCTGAGATTTTGCAATTGATTTTTATCATTTATTATATGAAACTATCGTTTTTACGATAATAAATACGTATCAAAAGAAATAAAAAGGTGCACGCAATGTTACCGATCAATTGTTTACAATTGGAATTCTAAACAGCTTCGAGGACATATGACCGAGACATAGCAGTCTACATTGATTCTGGTGAGTAGTATAAAATCATGATCTCGGATTCACGTCATCACGAGAAATGAGAAAAACCGGTTTTTCTACTGGTATCACATATTGTTAAAATATTCGCTTTTTTAATCGTATTTACATTTTTCTTCTTTTGCTCTTATCATTTTTATTTTCAAAGGAATATCACCTTTCTAATTTTCCGTTCGAAATTATTCTAAATTCGTAACTATAATAAAATATGCAATAGTTACGAGATTGTATGACATCGCCATTGAAGATTTTTTAGTATTCTAGTCAATGGTCACGTGTCTAGCTACGATATAATACAGGAAACAAAATCATGAGATCTATTGTAACATTGTTCAAGATAGAACTTCACATGTAATCTTGAAACTACGTTACACAGCACGCACTCTCTCTCTCTCTTTCTCTCTCTCTCTCTCTCTCTCTCTCTCTCTCTCTCTCTCTCTCTCTCTCTCCTACTCTCTTTGCGAACATTTCTTTCCAAGAAACGTGTGATATTTGTATTCCTTAGAAAACCATTATATTTTATCGATCACGCATGCGTAAATCGCAAATAAATTAGCCTGTATTTTTTTTTCGATCTTCAGATACGATACTTTGATAACATTTGAAAATATTTATGTAAAAGATTTTTATTATTATTATTGTTATTGTTATATAATTCAAAGAATACGAGCAAGATTTGAATAAGATTATTATTTACCGGCCAAACAAAGAAATGTATCAATAAATATATTTTGTAAAACGTTAATTCCGAGTATTTAGATCCGAGTAAAGATTTGGCAAACTTTCCCAAGCTAGGAGCGACTTCATGCAAGAAGATTATACGTTTTGCGAACGGAAATTACAAAACATCTAAAGGAGATTATTGGCCTTATCTATCATCATTTTTGTCGTTCCTCCTATTTTCTTTTTTTTTTTTTATCGATTCCTGTTTTTCTATTTTGTATGTCGTATGGGTATATATGTCGTGTTTAACGCGATACGAAGTTTGGAGTATGTAAACATATAGGTCATCTTAATCATCGACCTAGACGATATATATCAGTAAATCCATTATTGTATAAGTGATGAGTTTCATTACACATTTTAAGCTTGTCCTTGTACTGGTGAAAAAAATTAAATATGTAATATTTATTACAGAGTGGTAATAGCGAAATTATACTTATGATATTTGTATATCAAATTCGAAATTCTTTTTTTAATTAAAAAGAAAAAAAAAATAAAAAATAAAAAGAAATAAAAGACAAAAAAACAAAAAAGATTATTTATCGCTAGAAAGATTCCTCCGATTAAATTACGTACCAATATCACCAAAGGTATAACTTCAATGACTGATAAAAACGCATTTACGAGATTTCGTCTGATTTGAATTTCTCCTTGAACGTATATATTTAACAATTAAGTGTAATACTTAAAAATACTCATTTCAAATCTAGCAAAATCACACCTATAATCAGTTTCATTTTCGATATAGTTATAACCTAATCAATAGCTATAAGCTATCTTCGTTGCCCATGACATTACCTACAACCACAACATTTTTCGAGTAGATATCTACATTATTATTTATATATTTAACTTTGTACATTCTTACTTTGGAATTCAATTTATACTATGTTGACATTAATATTTTTGATAATATTACATTGTCAGATCTCAGGGATCTCGATGAATAATAACATGGCAATTAAGATAAAGAACTTATATTTAATAACTGTTAATCATTCAATTTTAAATTTAACGTTTTTCATGAAGATCGACATGTAATAAAATACTAGGAAGAAGAACCACTGGGACGACTCGTCACGAAGCGATCACATGCGTCAAGAAAAAAACAAAACCAATACACGACGTACAACATTAATAATGATTTGTTTTCTCAATCAAATTATTAAAAAAAGAACCAAATCTCTAACCATCGATTAAATCACATATTTTGTTAAATACTAAATAATGCTTGTATTGTCTATAAGTATTGTCTATAAGTATTGTCTATAAGTATTGTTTATGAAAGGAATACGAGAATATCCCCAGATTTTAAGTGGATCAAAACTTCTTAGATAATTTAAAAAATTAATTACTCTTTTTCAAGACATTTTAGGCTTTTACTTATGCTGACATATTTATAAATAAGTCTTGTAGTTTTAAAATCAGAAATAAAAAAATTAGCTTAAAATATTTCGAAAAAGAGTAATTAATTTTTAAAATCTAAGATCTTTTGATCCACCAAAAGTGTATATATGTAACAATAGATATTATTTTCATAATAAAAAAACTGTTAAAAACTATAAACCACTCGTGCTTTGATAACAATTGACTAATCGCACACCGAGATGTAGTTAAAGTTTCTTTCATAATAAGAAGCTCGATTCTTTGAATTAGTACTTATCATTATTAAAGCCGATTGAATGAATGTAGTTAGAAACTCGTATTTTTCTTAAAATTACATTACACGTGTAATCATACACACACACACACACACACACACACACACACACACACACACACACACACACACACATATATAGATATATACGTATCGAATATGATTTGTATAACGAGTATATTCACGAGATGTTACAAATTATTACTTACTTATATAATCTGTATGAAAACAAGAAGAAAAATCGCAATTCAAGGAAACATGACTGAAATATTCATCACTTCTATTATTTATCCTACGTTTAAAAATAATATCGGATGTTCTATAAGGACACTATGGGTACGTTACACTGTAATTCTATTTTTCTCGTTAATTTCTATTTTTTGTTAACCTTTCACTTTATATGTTTATTTTTCTTTCTTAACACCGAAGAAGAGATATTATATATTTCAAAAACTACCAAGTTTATTAATCATTTTCAAGAAATCGTAAATCACAAACATTGCATCTATCTATGACCAATTAAAATGATCGATCAAGATCGATAATCGTCACGCAGATACTAACTTTTACAAGAAACGAGATATCATTTTCCTTTTTCCTCTTTTTCTTTTTTTTTTCTACTCCTTTAATCAATCATTGAAACATTCACAATCTTATTTTATTGTAGATTATAGAAATACAAGTTATATAAGTCTCCATTTTTAAATAAACGCGAAAAACTAAATCTATTCTTGATGATCGTATATAATCGTAGAAATAATTATATATTAACTTTTTCTGAAGTAACTTATCCTAATTGTAAAGAGAAAAATAAATGGACAATTTCCGAAAACATTTCTTGATTTGATTTGTTGACAATCGTTCTCAACAGGATTCTTCGCAGAATCGAACCGTTCACCGAATGAAAGGCTAGAGATGACCTTGAATTTGCTTGGCTCCTCTTTCTAGACCTTTTTTACATTATATATGATGTGTATTTACTTGGAAAGCCAGCAAGTTAAAATCGATGATCATAATCAACGAAACGTGTTTATAATTATCGGGCCTTGACAGTGATTTATGAAATAAAGGAAATTTCGGAATATAAGAGTACTCTTAACAAATCCACCGACACTTTTGTTTTTGTTTATAATTTCTTATCTAATCAGAGGAATAAGCGACCCAAAGAAAAGATTAAAAAAAAAAATAAAAGAAAACACAAAAGGTCACAGTACAGGTTAAATTCCAAGATTTTCGTCAAACGATGTAGAAATAGTAAATCACCGACTTTATCGATAAATAGAATGGATATGTGTATATATATATATATGTATATATATAACTCGTTAATCGTATCATACTTTCTCTTTTACTTATATAATGAAATTATGGCGTAATTATTCGTTGGTTCTTGTATTCATAATGACAGTCGTTATGCCTTTCAACTTGAAAAAAAACATCGTTTAGTTAAAAAGAATAAGAGCCAAGAGTAACAAGAGAGAGAGTGAGAGAGAGAGAGAGAGAGAGAGAGAGAGAGAGAGAGAGAGAGAGAGAGAGAGAGAGAGAGAGAGATAGAGAGAGAAAAAAAAAGATGAAGTATGATCCAAACATGTTCATTCGATTTTCACGTCACGTACGATCTTACCAACAGTTCATTAACGTTCTTACGACCCGTATACAGCAACATAAAGGATACGTTAAATTGTTGACTTGTGTTTTACAAAAGTATGTATATACATGCAATATATAGATATGTACATTACATACATATACTCTCGAGGCGTATCACTCTTTTCGTGCAAATACTTCCAGAACAAAATGATAACACTCGTGTGCTATTTTTAATTTATAACGTTTTAATTATGTTAGCTTTAATGAAAATTTTTAATGATATTTAATCCTTACGTCTCGCGTATGTACGTATAAGAAAAAGTAATATACGCGCATACCAGGCCGTTACCCGGATCTATCTTTACGAATCGATGCGAACAAGGATACGTGATTTGTTTTTTAATTCGATTAACTTATTCTTTTTTCTAACTTCGAATACTTTTTCAATGACGTAGTTCAAAGAAAAAGAGAGAGAGGGGGGAGGAGCCGGGGAGAGAGATAGTTTATCGATATATTCCTTTCTCTCTCCCTCTTTCCAAATTTTCTATTTTTTTTCTGCTTTTAATGATGTATATTTTTGTTCTTTCTTTTTGTTTCTTTATTTTTGAATATAGAAATTTTTTAATATATAATCTTGGCTTTTTTATTATGCTCGTCAAACATCATATCGGTATCATTCGGTACAAAAGTAAAATCATCGAACGAAAGATAGGAGCAACGTCATAATAACATCAACACAATGGAAACGTCCATTCTGCGCTTTTTCATTTAAAAGTACGTACGTACGTATGTATGAATCTGAATATATATATATATATATATATATATATATATATTCAGATAGCTATATAGATATATATGTATATATATATCTATATAGATATATACTCTCAAAGTGTAGAAAGTTAGTATAAAAAATAACAAAGGGAATGAATATCGGCTTATCATTTAAGAGAGGAAGCATTATTTTTATCTCCAAAGCTGCGAAACAAACTATTTCCGATTTTAAATGCATTCTATAACATAAACATTTGTAATTACCAGACTACTAGGACCCATTTTTCATTTTTTTTCTTCTTTCCCTTCCTTTATTTTCAATATGATTTTTCTTTTCTCTCATAGTGGATCCCGAAATCATTGATAACGTACGATGATCAACACAATCTGGTTGATTTTTTTCCTTGCGCTTTCAACGACTAATACCATTGCTTCTCAATGTAAAGAAGATAATAATTGCACATGCCAACCAACTTATTCGAACGAGATAGAAATTTATTGCCAAGCTGAGAATAATTCGGAATTCATCCTAAACATTCATCCGAAGGATTACTTGCAGGTATATACTCATTAGAATTTTATTCTTATGTAAGAGAAATCTTTTGTTTTATTCGTAAATTATTTAAACAATCATATATTATAAATACTAAGAAATAACAGTATTAGAATTAGAAGTATAAAATAAATAGTGCTTAAGAATTTCATTTAACAAATATTTTATCGTATTATAAAACTTTTGTTTAAATATTTACTATAAAATTGGAAAGTCCCTAGACGTAATATTTTATAAAAATAGTTAATAATTGATCGATCTTTTATTTTCTTTAAATAAAATTTGATGCTAAATTAACAGATAACTTGTCAAAATTGGAAAGGATGGGAACATTTTCGTTTTACGAGCACACTACCTGGAAAGGAATTAAATTCGCTGCTCTTCCGAATATGCGGATTATCAAAAAACATCAGTTTAGGAAACGTGGCTAAACAAATGGGAGTGGAAACCGTCAACAACTTACTCTTTCAATCCTTTAATAATCTTAGTGACACATTAACGAGAGAGCAACTTGAAGGCTTTCCAATGGTGAGAAAATTAATCTTGTCTAGTAATGGTTTCTCGAAGGTCCCAAAGGATTTATTGATGAACTTTCCCGAATTGGAGCGCCTTGACTTACACGAAAATAATCTCGAATTACCAGTTGGTATTTTCGATTTCACTCCGGAACTCAAAGAACTCGAATTAGGCAACAATGGAATGAAGACGATCAAAGTTGGGATGTTTGATAAATTAGGAAAACTTAATTTTCTAAATATTTGGGGGAACCAATTGACGGAAATCGAAATAGGACTATTCGACAAATTAGTCTCATTACAATCATTGGATCTAAGCAGGAATAAATTAATGACGCTACCGTCAAACGTTTTTGACCAATTAAAAAAACTGGAGAAACTTCATCTTTCTTTTAATAATTTCTCTTCGCTACCGGAAGGATTGTTTAGCCAAACCGAAGCATTACAAACGGTAAAATTGACCGACAATTATAGGAACTTGACCACCCTGCCAGATAATCTTTTTGCAAATTTGACGAAGCTCGAATTGGTATGGTTGAAAAAAAATGGACTGAGAATTCTACCAGAAAATTTATTCTGGGGTGCGTCGTCGTTGAAGAATATCAGCCTAGATAGAAACTTCCTTATTACTTTACCAAAGAATATTTTTAAAGGTCTAGAAAATGTTGAAATACTCGACTTGAATTTCAATGACATTGTAACTCTTCCTGATAAAATCTTTGACGACATGAACAAATTGACTAAACTTGATTTATCTATGAATCGTATGGTTTTTTTATCTAGGTACGTTACTTTGTAGTCTATATAATATGAATTTGGATTTTTTTTATTTTTATTTTTTTAACAAATTAAATATCTTTCAGACATCTATTCGAAGGCTTGAAATCTCTAACTGAACTGAACATGGAAAAAAATAAATTAAAAACCATCGACAGTAACACTTTTACTTACGTAAGAAATCTACGAGTTGCTAAATTCTCTCACAACGAGCTTCAATTGAATTCATCCGAATATCAGAATGTTAATCTGTCACCATTTTATAAATGTGATTTGCTGGAAGAATTATATTTATCTAACAATAATGTATCGGAAATATATAGCGATTGGTTGATAAGTGGCACGCATTTACGATTATTAGATCTCAGTTACAACGACATAAACATCATATCGGTAAATATAATTTTTCAATTTCAACATAAATTCTAAAGTACTTCATTAATCAAAATGAATAAGAATAAACAATAAAACAAACTTTTTGATTTGAATAATCATTCTTTTATGTTATTTATCTTTTCTTTTTTTTTCTTTATAGATGGAAGATTTGCAATTCGTATCGAAAAAAATTAAAGTCAATCTGAGTTATAATAAAATAAGACACATTTTATTGGGCCAAGCCGAAATTATTGGAAGTTTTCAAGAGACTCCACGAGATGTGATCATATACGTTGAACATAATCCCTTACTCTGTGATTGTTTTTTGTACGAATTTTTGCGTTTTCTCGAGGGTAGAATGCATCCAAATGTTCAAAATTACTTTCACATTGTAACAGGAAATTTAACGTGCATCGAACCAAATGGAGTAGACGAAATAGAAATTAGTCGATTACGTTCGAAGACTTTAAAATGTGTCGAGGAACAACACTTGTATATTAAAAGCAAGTGTCCAATTAATTGTTCTTGTTGGATGATCCCGGAAGACAAAGCTCGTTTAATAGATTGCTCATATACAAATTTGTCTGAACTATTGATCGACAAGACAGTAATGAACGATTTGAAACCTATTAAAGGTTATCATATAAAATTGAATATTACTGGAAATGCTTTAATAGAAGCACCGTCTACAGAACTTTTAGGATCAGAATATGTGACGGATTTAATTCTGTCTAACAACAATATCACTAAAATTTCACTTGACAAATTACCAAAAAATCTCAAAGTACGGTATTCCTCATTTTAGTTTTGTTCATTTTATCTGATAGAAAGATGAATTACAATATCAATTTCTTCTTCTTCTTCATTTTCAGGTATTAGAATTGCATAATAACAATATATCTAGGATTGATTTGGACGTACTGGATTACTTGAAGAATATGACTTCACTGAAAAAACTTACTTTGCATAAGAATCCATGGAAATGCGACTGCGATGCACGAGACTTGCTTAGCTTTATCCAATCGAAACTAATAGACCTTCCTGATTTAAGAAAAGTCACGTGTAATAACATGAATATTTCTATGTTGGAAATGACTATTAATGATTTTTGTCCAATCGAGACAGTGATAGTCATTGGCATAAGCTTTACAATCGCATTATTGTGTTTGTTTATCGGTGGACTAGTAGCACTATATTACAAATACCAACGAGAAATCAAAGTTTGGTTGTACGCCCGTCAATGTTGTTTATGGTTCGTCACAGAAGACGAATTAGATAAGGAAAAGATATATGATGCATTTATAAGTTATTCGCATAAAGACGAAGAATTTGTTGTAAACGAATTGGTACCAAAGTTGGAAAATGGTCCAAGACCGTACAAATTGTGTTTGCATTACCGTGATTGGCTAGCAGGTGAATGGATTCCAACACAAATCACACGTTCAGTGGAACAATCGAGGAGAACGATCGTTATAGTGTCACCTAACTTTTTAGAAAGTGTTTGGGGTGCCATGGAATTTCGTGCAGCTCACAGCCAAGCTATGAACGAAGGTAGAGCCAGAGTTATATTAATTTTATACGGTGATATTGGCCCTACGGATAATTTGGATACTGAATTCAAAGCTTACATAAATATGAATACGTATGTTAAATGGGGCGATCCGTGGTTTTGGGATAAGTTGAGATACGCGTTACCACATCCGCCAGAACTTACGAGAAAACTAATTAAAAAGAAAATCTTTGAAAAACATTATCCTTGTATACAAATCAATGGAGAAAAGAAAGAATTGATATATCCATCTGGAATCCCTGATACACCACCAGCTGTGACTACTCCACCGGCGGATTCACTTAAAGTGTTCATATGTGACCAAAGTGACAAAGATCCCTACGGGAACAACGATGAAAATGAAATAACTAAATTGAATGATAGTAAGAGATTCAATATTGTACCAGAATGCGAAGCGATCCATAAAAACTTGATAAATAAAATGCAATGCACTACTGTTTAATTCTAAAATAAGTAATATCAAAATAGTGCAATATCAAAATCACGCCCGTGAGATATTTTAAGTTACTCGATTTATCTGTGTTTTTTAATAATTTTTAAGAAACATAAATAACTTTGAATTTATTCAAACTTCGACTGAATGGACTGAAATCCAAACAATGTAATCGTAATATTAATTATTAATATAATTTTTTTTATTTAGTTATATTTTTTTTTCAACGAAATTATCCATATATTGTTGAAAAAAACATATAGAACATATTGAGCAAGACTTGTTCAAAATCATCATATTTGTTTAGGTATTATAATTAAATATAAATACTCTAATACAAAATATAATAATTTTGGAACAACTCTTAATTTCTAATATGCAATATTACGCATTAATGTAAGCTAGTCCTATATGCCCTATTATTACTTTTCCATGTACATAATAATCATTTTACATTGACTATCATTTTATATGCAATTTATTATCTTTATATTCGAATCGATTTTATTTAGAAAAACGATAGTTTAAGCATTTGTATATATTTTCAACATTTTCATTCAATATATTTATAGTGTATATTTTGGATTTTAAAAAATAAGAAAAATAATAGTACGAACTAGTTTCAGAAAGCGAACAAACCGAAAGAATCTCTTAATAAATAAAATTAAAAGTAAAATAACGCAAGAAGTAATTTTACTTACCCATGACAGCCTTGGTTCGCCAATTTCAATCGATTCATTGCATATAAACTTGATTTCCGACATATAGGAACCTGTAACAGTTAACATAAAAATATAACAAAAAAATCAAAGATTCATACGGATCGTAAAAAAATATAGATTTATTTTTTTTACTTACTATTAAAACATTTACTGCCATTGAAATATTCAAGTTTTATACTGTTTTGATTATAATCAAAAATAACATTTGATAAAGATCCATAATTGTTAGATCCTTGACACACTGCGAAACCATTACAGTTTTCTTGTACTCCACAAATATTTATACTATAATTTTTTTCGTTATGTTGCACCTATAATTTTAATTGATAATAATTTACACTCTATCTTTTTTTTTTTAATTATAAATTAATGTATTTGAATGGAATGAAGACTCACATAATGTATTGGTTGTTTTTTATACAATAAAGAAAGATCGAATTGATTTAAAAGAAATCGATCTTTTATTATACACGGTGGTATCCAGTTGCCGATGATAGCTCCACAAACAATATTAGTTTTCCATTCAAAAATATATGTACAATTATTATATTCTTTAAATTCTGGCAACCCCTAAGAATAAAATAATGTATTTGATATATATCTATGAAAAGGTCAAATAATTTATTTTTTTATAAACGTGAATATTAAATAATTTAAAAATTCGTACTTCATTTCTATCATCGCAAACAAATACCAAAACTGATGAAATTTTAGTATCCATTCTTTCTGGACATGCCGAACCTTCGAGGTAGCGCAAAGTTATTTGATCTTTATTTATTTGTGGCGCTTCTTTAGGAAAACCTAAATTCTAAAATAAAGTATTATATATTAATAATTTTTACGAAAATATACAATTTCATAGTTAATTATTTACTTACAACTTCTTCTACAAGTACATTATCAGCATTTAATGAAGCTTTACAAATTGCACTGCCATGTGCACATTTTAAGTCTGGAGTAGGTATTATAGGTCGACATACATTTATATAAAATATAGTACTATTTATTTTTACAATATAATTGTTAGTCGAACTTATTAAAGGAGTTAAATTAATTTCATTATCTACAGTGGCACATTTGATCTAAAATGAAATATTTTATTTATTAAAATGTCACAGAATATTGAGAATTAATATACTTAACTTCATAAACAATTTCTGATTTATTACTTACTCTTTTTTCACAAACCAAATTAAGATTCCAGTGAATAATTAATTGACAAGGATTTTCTTCCATAATAATTGGATCGTTTAATGATCCTTCAGGTCCACATAAAAATGCAATAAATGTTTGACGGTATTGATTATTGTTACATTTGTCACCATCCGTATAATTTAAGTAAGGTCCACCCTGCTGCCACATCAGATTTGCATTAGCCATACCCAGAGATGTACCATTTTCTTTAAGACAAACTCCTAAATATGTGAGTTTTAATATTTATAAGCCATTCCAACTATATTTTATTTATTAACAAAAATTAAACGTTATTTTTCCTGAAAGATTTTCATTTATTTATTAAATTCATTGATTATTATCATCGTAGGATCATTCTATTATTATACTTATACTTCTCAAAGAGTGATGATATCAAAGATATATATAAATAAATAATGCATAAAAAGCATATAATACATGTAATGCATGTATTTTCGATATGTAGAGTTATAGATTAAGATATTCATACCAGTTTGGTAAAGTAGCGATAATCAAGCTCATTGAGTACAATACATTAGTATTAGTATTGTAATTCGTTGATAAATTAAAGTACGAAAGACAATAGTTTTTAGGAACTTTCTTAAGATGGCGACATAAGTTGTTTCTTCACGAAACAAGTTACCATCTCACTTTTTCATATACAATTTTATCAATAAATTGCAATACCTTTGAATTTCACAATATATAGTGTTAGTTTAATAAAATCTTAATTGTATATACCAAAATACTTAACCTGTTCCTGCTTTACATGTATCATCTGCAATAGCTCCACATACTCTGAACTTATACTTTGTACCCTGTGACAGTGAAGTGACATTGAAATCTTTATTCATTAAAGATTGTAAATCATACCTGCACGAAAGAGTATAAATTATTGTGAAGAGTTAGAAGTAAACTGAATGTAATTATTTAAATACAAAATTTAATTCTTACGTGAAATTTGTAATAGGATTATTTATAGTACATCTTCCTGCTGTTTTTGCACTATATTCACGTAATTGTTCTAAACTACAAGCAGCTGCTGTAATCCATTTCAACTGATAATGACAGCCATCAGTTTCTGTTACCTCTGGAAGTGTATCCTAGTGAAGTAATTATAATAATAACTACATATAATTTTTTTAATCGCTATCTTTAAGTAACAAGTTCATTGATAAAATACTCACTTTAGCTTCTAAATTACAGATAAATGTAATAGTTGTTCGAATATGTTCTTTCTGTTGCCCTTTCTGTTGTTCTTTCTTACACATAGCTCCATCTTCATAATTCAATTGCAAATGATTGGAGGAATCAAAAACAGGAGTTTTTTGAACATCTCCCAAATTTAAATACCTGAATTTAAAACGATGTATACATCTATAAATACTTCTTTTTTACTTTAATAAAAATTTATATTTTTTAAATAAATTTTATATATATACCCTAATGTAGGTGCTTCTACAGGATCATGAAGACAAGCTCCTGAATTTATTTGACAGATTGCTTCATATCCAAATATTACGGAATGACAAACATTCAATGTTATTTCGAGAGAGGTATTTTTTCCTGCATATATAACATAATTTTCTGAATATCTTTTCAATGGTGAAAGATCATAATGAGAACCATCAGAAGGATTAATCACAGTACAATTTATTTCCTTTCTATTAGCACACGCAAAAGCACTTTTCCATATCATATAAAATTGACATAATTCACTTCCCTGTAAATAATGATCACATTAACATGTCAAAGCCAAAAAGCATTGTAATGACAAACATATATTTTAAATATATTTAAAATTACTTGCTTGTTTAAATATAGTTGGTACTGAATGACTTGTTATAGAATAATCACATATCATAATAACATGAACTACATAATTGATACCTGGTTTACATTTGTCACCATTAAATGTAAAATGTATCTTTCCAGATGTAGTTACTAACCTTGGTACTACTTTTCCTATAAAGATAATAGAAATTAAATACTTTGTTTCCATGAAATACATGACAATAAGAAAAGATGTATTTACCTATTCCTATTTCTTTGTTGTTTTTTTCTAGGCATATAGAATATCCATCCTTCCCATTGCACTTTTTTATCAATGGTGAACATAATTGCATTCGTATAGTTTCATTAGAATTATGACGAATTGCGATATCCTCTCCAGGTTTTGATAGTTTAGTTAAATTATAAAAATAACTAAAGATTTCTTCGTTGAATTCACAGTAAGATTTCGTCTTAATCGGTATATTACCCTGTATAACAACAAAAATTAAATGAAAATGTTATTATAAATGCATACGTATGTTTGATTGAGAAGATTTGATTCGTACCAAACTAATTGTTGAAATAGAACACAAAACAATAAAGACGTTTAAGTTGTACATCTTTCTAATTCGAAGATTCTTTCGTAAATTGCAATGACAATATATCTTCTAGTAAAATACATAACAAGTAAGTTCAATATACTGACGTGAATTATCCACACAAACATACACATAAATACGGATGACTAATTATGATATCATAAATTACGGTCGCTCCTGATAGCGAAACATTTAGGTTAGAATTATTTTCAAACATAACATTATGAAATAAAACTCGATGCAATCTATCGATTAATCGTTTCGAGAAAACCTATTGAGACATCGCTTATTAAGTCGTAGAATATCGATTATAATAAGAATTAACTGAAAGATCGAAATATCGCTGAATAAAAAGCGACTGAGAGTAAAATACAAATTTTATTTTTTACTATGTTATTTCCAAAGACCGTAATACTAAGTCAGTCACGGCATCAGTTTCTTGTTATATATTTGTATAGTTATTAATTTGTATAATTTACATATTTATAAATTATATCTAATTACTATTTTATTATGTAAAAACGCACAGAACACGAATTAAAAATAATAACTTCTCTATTGCTAACATAAGATAATCGTATGAAGTAAATAAAATTTATAGATATCACTTTGTTTAATAATTATGGAACGACATGCAGTTCAAAAAGGTTTTATAACGCTCAAACCTCTTTGTGATTCGTTAATCAAAGATCCGAGTATAAAATGTGCGTTGCAAATCATAGATTGTATAAAAACAATCTCAGATGGTATTATTCAAGATTTACTTGATTATATTCTGTTCCCTGTAATTGTTCATTTACAAAATGAGAATGTCAGGTAACATAGAAATTCATATTTTTATTA